CGGGGGGGGGGGTGGGAGACACCAACTTACGCTAGGGAGGGGGGAGACACCGACTGATGTTGGGGTCCCTTAAAAATTTCCTCGGCCAAAAAGGGGTCACGAGTGGAGAAAGTATAAGAAGGCCTGGTATAGATCACCACTTCTTGACATTGTCACTTCCGTTGTGGCTATGTAATCTGAATCAGCATCTTTCCTGACGCCCTTTCTTTATGTGCATGCGCACCGGGAAGTGACATAGTGGAGACATTTTATGGGTCAAGGAAAAGTACAGCACACTGTGGCGGAGGGATCCCTCATCACTGCTGTGAGTAAGAGCAATTGCTGTGACCCTGGTACTGGTGCTGACTCCTGTCAACTATAAATGGACTACAAATCTCAGCTATACATTATACAGCAATGCAGAATACCACCAGCTATAGAGGACTAGAAATTTCAGTAATGCAGAATACCACCAACTATGGAGGACTACAAATCTCAGCAATACATTATACAGCAATGCAGAATACCACCAACTATAGAGGACTACAAATCTCAGCAATACATTATACAGCAATGCAGAATACCACCAACTATAGAAGACTACAAATCTCCGCAATACATTATACAGCAATACAGAATAATACCACCAATAATGTAACGCAGAGTGCAGAGGTCAGTAATGTGACACAGAGGTCAGTAATGTGACGCAGAGAGTGGAGCTCAGTTGTAACGCCAAGTGCGGAGGTCAGGGGTGCGTAGGTCAGGGGTGCGTGTAACGCGGGGTGCGTAGGTCAGGGGGGCGCGTAGGTCAGGGGCGCGTAGGTCAGGGGCGCGTAGGTCAGGGGCGCGTGTAACGCGGGGCGCGTAGGTCAGGGGCGCGTGTAACGCGGGGCGCGTAGGTCAAACACAGCCTTCCATTGCTGTGTTATTGGAGATGCATACAGCTTACTAGCATACACAAGGGTGTCTCCTTAGAACCCTGCAAGGGAAAGGAGCCACCGTGAAACTATACATCAGAGGCAGTGCTCAGGGGACCATTTGATTCTGCAGGAAATTGAAACTTAAACATCAAAGGGCATCATCCGTTGTAGGTAATTTAAACAGCATTTGAATCCTCTACTGACATTCCCCCCGCATACAGTTTCCTCTCTATGGGCTACTATGGGGGAGAAGGGGGGTCATCCTCCATTCAAATCAAAGTGGGAAGATCTTTTGGGTGGTTCTTGCTCTGAAGACGATTGGAGAAAATGTTATGTCCTGACTCGTAAGCTGTCTATGTCCTCATATATTCAGGGAACGTGAGGGCGCAAGGCTAGAGGGACTATGAAGCTGATTGAAACAAAGTGAGGGAAGCAAGAGGAGATGGATCACTTACTTTTAAGTGGGTCTCGGAACCGGATGGATGTGGAACAGTGGAGGAAATTGTGGAGTCCAACGTGTGCAATCAGTGAAGGCTAGTGTGTTGCCTTGGGTAGCTCATCACAGGGAAATGAGAAGAGAGGGGTGGACAGGAGTGCAGGTGATGGCACACACAGTGTGTCCGTATCCCCGCTGAAGCAATGTAAAGTGCCAGTGATGTGAGGACTGACGTCAGGCTGGGCTGCAGCTGCGGGTGGAGGAACTCGGGCTGTGAGATGAGATTTCCTCCACTGTTCCACATCCATCCGGTCCCGAGACCCACTTAAAAGTAAGTGATCCATCTCCTCTTGCTTCCCTCACTTTGTTTCAATCAGCTTCATAGTCCCTCTAGCCTTGCGCCCTCACGTTTGTTTTTTGGTTCCACAAGTGCAGGCACTCCTCCTGTCTCCCAGGGCTGCAGGCGAGGTAGAGCTACAGCATCCTATTCCCCTGGCCCAATCCGAGACCGCTGTTCGTATTATTTTTATATATTCAGGAAAAGCGTTCTAAGATAGTATCCCTTTCGTATCGTACGCCAGAGGATTTGCACAAGATGTACCCTTTTGAATCTGATTGCTGCTGGAGATGCTCTGGGGAAGTGGGATCTTTTCTTCACTTATGGTAGAGCTGTCTTATTATCACCGGGTTTTGGACCTCAGTCTTTGCCTGCGATCACAGGATGAGCATTTCTGATATACTTCTCTCTCCCAAGGCGGCCCTCCTCTCCATGATCCCTACGTCCCTCTCCATGATCCCTAGGTCCCTCTCCATGATCCCTAGGTCCCTCTCCTCTCAAGAAGGGAATCCTGTACCACTGTTTGTTGGCAGCCAGAGTCGCCATTTTGTGACACTGGAAGACCAACCATCCCCCAAAGCTCACGACTTGGGCCCTGATAATGAATTAAATTTACACTTTGGAGCATCTGGTGGCAGTTGACCAACACAG